CGTACGTACGAGAGAAGAAGAAGAGAGAGAGAGAGAGAGAGAGAGAGAGAGAGGGAAAAAGAAAAAAAACACATATAGATGAACTTGGTAGACTTCTCGTATCGCACGATAGACATGACTGACATCGAACGATACTACATGCTCCATTGAAAACCTGCGCACATCTAACAACACATACATGACATCATATTCACCAGCACATTCGTTTTATGGCAGCAGCGAGAGTAGTGGAGATTAATCGGAGAATCAAACGTGACAGGGTTGATAATGGATCGGTAAGGCGATGGGAAAACGCGGCGAAAAAAATTCCGTTTTCTGGATATATTCAGACAGAATGCGATCTGCTGGAACCTATAATTATCCTGAAACTCGCATTGATATTAGCTATAGATGGAAAAAAAAAAGAAAGCAAACGTTCTTCCCTGACGCAATCATATCGTGACGATTTAATTTGCTGTTCGATGTTCGATTCCTTGATACGATAAAAAATCCTCTTGATATCTAAATTTGATCTCGATTATGTAATAATCAAGGGAAAATATTGGAAGTGTGCATATATTTATAAAATCTTGGGATTAAATCCTATGTTAACGAAGTGAGCATTATTGTTGAGATTATTAATTTGGAGCTGGTTAGATGATAGAAGACATACATTTTGGTTATTATAATAATATACGTATAAGTTTCGATTTTAATTTAAATTTTGCACTTTTCAGATCAGGCACAAAAATCGTATAAGATATATACTCTCAAAGAGGACATGTTGTTACTTGTTACAGAATGTATGTTTGAAAATTCTATCTTTTTTTAATCGGGATTTATATTACTTACAAAGTGAATACTTTCAATTTATCTCTTCGTGCTGTAGTGATATCAATGAAGCCATATTTACTAATTGACGAATTAAACTATTATCACGAAACATTGTGTTATACACAACTAGATTTATTTTAAATCCTCAGTAGCTATTTTTTAATTATTTTTATAATAAAAAGTGAAAGGGATTAATAAAATGATACATTATATACTAAATATATAATTAATAACTAATAATGAATATACTATAAATTTTTCCGAACATGAAACTATATAAACTCCATATAATTTATAACACCAAGAAAATAAAATTAACATTAAATGACAGCCACTGAGGATTAATTTTAAACATAAAACATTTACTCAAAACTCGACTACCTTATTTCTTTCTCTCACGAATATTTCTCTATGCTATAATAGCCACAACAGTTTAAATAAATTGAACGCTCATCTACCGACACACTTGACCACGAGTTATACTTTATTCGATTGTTACCTTGTTCTTGCTTGTTCTTTTCCATTGCCATGTAAGCGATACGTCGTTCCTGAAGTTCAGGCGAAGGTATCAACCCCGCGGAACCGGCCGCGTTATCCTTCTGCGCTTGCCACCAATAATGATCGTCCTTGCTGATGATCTGCAGGATGTCGCCGGTTTTGAACGCGATTCCGGCTTGGGCGCACGGTATCAGCTCGTCCTCCAGCGGATCATAGTCAAATTGTGCTCGAACGAATATCTGTCGGTGCAGAAACATCATAATATTAATATTTTTCAACGCATTCCGGGACAGTTCGTTTCGATTGGTTGCTGTATCAGTGATCCTATATGAGATCGGTGAAATGACATCGACAGTTTTTGAATATTGTATTGAAATGTAACGTGTGAGAGATGTGCGGGTTGATCACGAGTTCGAGAATCAAAAATTGATAAAATTCGGATCGGATCTCGATAACTTCGCGTTACTCACTGAGATCACGAAACTTTTGATTCTGGACGAAACTTCGTGACGTGAAATCGAGCACAATCGGTTCGAAAGGGATCGAAACGTGACCATTAAAGCCTTCAATCGATCACATCCGATTACAGTCGGGAATTAAAGTCGAAGAAATTGCACTTTTCTGAATCGTCCTTGAATCGAGACTTTCGAAATCCCGAAAATTGCCGACAGTTATCGATCTTATCCGAATTTTCCCGATCTTTCCCAAGGTTAAATTTCTCGAATCTCATACGAGACAATCCCGCACACCTTTAATAATGTGATGCGGGAAGACACGAAGGAAAATAAAATAATAATAATAAAAAAAAAAGAAGAAGAACGTTAAACGGTGCAGAAGATCGGTATCGTGACATGGTATCGTTAAAATTTCAGGTGAGGGGGTGGAGGGGGGAGCGATACTTTACAATTTTCGCACTCAGATCACCGAAACCATTTAGGTTAATAGAAAATCACATGGAGGGTAAATTACTCGTTGGCCTAAAACGCGTTGGCGAAACGTTCGTTCTACGACGTTATCGATCGCTGTGCCGATGCTGCTTACGTTGGCTTAGGCTGTTGCTATTGCAAATTAATTAAATCGCTGGCGAAAAAGAAGCGGAGAATGCGACAAACGTAAGCTCGCTGGCGGTTATTGCAAACAGCGTGTACACTTTCCTTTCAATGGAACGTCTATTTTGCCGGGGGAACATTCACCCCGGAGAATACATTCCATATCTTTCTCCGTTCTATTTTAATAGCATCCGATGATTATCGTTGGAGCGTGTAAGCGCAACGCGGAATAGGCATTTACAATGGAATTTTGTATTCAGTTTCAATAGCGATCGATGCGTAGTACGAATCAGTCACCGTTTCAAGCATCGAAAAACACTTTACGAAAGAGAATCAATTTGTTTCATTGTTAATCTCATCGTGATTACAGTTTTAATGCATATCTTTGGAAACGTTCACCTTTGGATTATTTGTTACACACAATGTGAAATAATTGAAATATGTTTCGTAATCGATTCTTTTTTTTTTTTTTTTTTCAATTTTGATAACGCAATTTATCGTGAAAATAAAATGAAAATAATAAAGTGGTGGCAAATAAGATTTTTTTTTTTCCAAATTTCAATCTTCGTTAGATTAATTTATTTCTGAATTGGCGCAGCAGGAAAATTAATTTATTTTTGATTAATAAAATATTGAAATTTCAAATTGTGAATTTTAAATTTCATTAAATTTCTCCGATATAAATTTTCCTGATACAACGGTTTTTGAATTTCAATTAACAAGATTCACATTGAAAAATGCAATATAAAATTAATATTTATTTATTAACTTTCGAATCAATCAAATTTCATGAAAATGTTTTAATCCAATGCGAGTAAATGAAAAAATTTTTTATTTTCACTCTTGTTAAATAAAAATTATATTCAAACTATATATTCAATTATTTTCTCCGTTAAACAACTAATAGTTAATTATGTTATATAAGTTAATAAATAATAAATATGTTATATAATAGTTAATCATTATATATAAAATGAAATAGAATAATTAATAAATTTTAACAATCGACGAACTTTAACAAATTTCATTGTCTCGGAATTGATTCATTTCACAACGAAAAAATTATTTTCATTTTCCAAAAAACATTCAAGTAACCAAGTGATTTATCTTCTGTGCAAACTCGATTAAAACAACAAGCATAAATCTCATTTCGTAAAGCGTTCATGATGCGATACACGACATTAATTCGCAATCATTGACAATCCATTAGAGAAAAACAAAAAAAAAAAAGGAAGAAAAAGAAAATACTGGATCGCTGGTTTTTCGAAAGTCCATCATCAGTGACACGGCTTAAAAAGCTATAATCGTTTTATATTTACACGTACATTCGTAACAACGATTCGTATGAAAAAGTTGAACGACACTAGAACGACAATTACACGATCTCGTTGTCATTATCAAATCGTATTAAAAACCAGTGCAACGATCGTTCATCTAGCGATACACATGGACAAAGTGACACGTCTCTTTTTTTTTTTTTTTATTCTGTACATTCATTCCCCCTTTTTTTTCTCTTTTTTTCTTTTTTTTTTTCTCCAACAATAAGCTGAAGCACTAAATGCTGCACAGTAGTACGTACACAGCACACCGACACACGCACGCACGCCACATACGCACACGTATACACGCTTGAAAATGCGCGATATGCAGAGTATGCATTCGGGCTCTCTACGTAAATGTGCGAATAAGAAATACGGCATACGAAGGAATAGAATAATAATAATAATGATGATGATGATGCTGAGTGACAATAAAAATGCCATTTTGCGTATCATTCGCAAATCGAATATATGCCGACGATGATTCATTATGAGCTCAAAAAGGGGGACGTGGAGTGTAGTGAGTGATGAAATTCGTGTTTAGTGAGAGCCAGCCTTGCACGAATATTCCAAAAATTTGATTTTTTTTTTGGGGGGGAGGAGGAGTCATCTTAGGTGGATAATTATAACTTGTTGAGAATTAATCTTTTGTAAGTAATTTTTGGGATACCTCATTTTAATTTGCATTCTTCTCGAGATGAAAAGCATTCAAAAGATTGGAGCAGATTGGATTAGTATTCGATTAACGAGAAAGTCTTTTCAGTGAAAGCATTGTTTGAAAAGAATGATGGTTTGATGAAAAATACGAGCTTTTCACTCGTTTTACGTATGAATGGTTTTATTATTGAATATATGGAACTTTTATTATCATTTTATCATGCACGTTTTATTAGAAATTTAAAGATGTTTTTATGGTGATTGATATTTTAGATAAATATGTTTATATGTATCAATGCTAATTATTCATATGATTTGAATTATTGATACAGTTTGAATTAATTATTGTAATTTTTAAATTTTCGTTAAATTTTAATTAAAGATAATATATAATAATGTTACAACAATAAAAGCTGGCTAGCACTAAGAAGATTACATGATATATTCGATAAAATATAAAATGTACATCAAAGATTGATTCTTGAAAAGATATTATCAATTATATCTGAATCTTACAAGCTAAAAACTCGATTTACGAAACAATTTATCATCCCAACGATATCCTATATTTTATGTGAAAATAAATACGCGAAAAGATTTGAAAAGTTTCAACAGAGAAACTTATATTCGTTCCTTCTTATTAAAGGATATTTCATCATTCCTCAAAGTTATATTAAAAATTGCAAAGATTTTCTTGCACAGCCGACAGATTCGTGAGTTCGTTTCGAGAAACGTTTCGAGAACCAAAGAAAGTGAGTGTAAAGTAAGAGAAAATGTAAGAGAAAATGGAAATTAAAATTGGGAAAAAATTGGTATATTCGTACAGGCCTAATCTCTACGGCTAAATCTAACGTGATGGTTCAATGGTCGCGCAATCATCTACGCCTCTCAGTGACTACGAGGCACGCCATAACATTAGCAGTAAAAGGAGAATTCTTGTGTTCAGGTGTACTAGATGAGATAGAAAGAGAGGTGAAAAGGAAGGTGAAAAGGAGAGAAAAAAGGGATAAACGTTTCATTTCACGAAACTTAATACACCTTGACACGTTTTTATCATATCCACCTAGCAAAATGTTGGAAGTAAAAAAAAAAAAAAAAAAAAAAGAAAAAAAACGAAGAACTAAAAAATGCAGGAACATGATGGAACGAAGTAAATGGAAGCCTACTTTCTTGCGATGGCGTATGACATGGTGATCGAATAATCGTGCAGCTTGGGTCTGGGTAAATTTCAGACTTTCTAAGAGAAATCTAAGTGGATCCTATTATATATTCGCTGCAGATATTTTGATAAAATTATTCCCAATGCATATTTACATTCAAAAAAAAAAAGAAAAAAACCAATAATCTGTTATTTGGTCATTCATCAAGTTACATTACAATATTTGATATATTATCTTCATCGAATGCACACGGTTAACGAACGAATGTAATGTCAACGTTGATTAGTTGTTAAATGACACAAAATACAAAAACTAAAGAAAAGAAAAGAAAAGTAAAACACAAACCATTGGCAAGGATAAAAAAAAAAAAAGAAATCAAACATCACACGAGTGATAAATCACGAGCATTGCCTTGATATCTGAGCGTTAGCTTTCGCGTAATTCTTCGTTATTTACTCAGACTCACACCGCACACGGTACACAATATGCGTGTGTTCAAATGTAATGTGGATAATATATATATATATATATATATATGTATGAATAAACGCATAGCCTTCTAACTACAGCAGTCCAATCACACCAGATCAAGTGGCGGTACTTACTAACACTGGCAGAGGCTTAATCCTGAACAACTAGAGCGTTGAAGAACAGAAAAAAGGAAGATCGATTAATTAACATGTTCATCAAAACTTGATCTCGGTCGAATTTTCTCGATTTCTCTATTTTTTTTCTCTCTTGTCATTTTCTTTACTCTTTCTCTCTCTCTCTCTCT